AAAAGTTTTGCGCGCGATCGCGCCCCACAGCTACACAACAAGCAGGCGCGCAACCGGCCGGCTAACGATACGGCGTTATTCGATTCGAATTCGCCCTGTATAAATAAATATCCGCGCGCGGAACGGCTCGTATTACGTAAATAAATGATACGGTATCTCCCGCCCTCCGAAGAGAAAATAAAAAAACCCTACTACCGGTGTGTTTTGCATCCCTTGTACGGAAAGTCCATATTATTATATTGCCGTTTGACAGCCGAAGCTCCGTATAATATCTTTTCGGATTATATAATATGCATACATACATATACATGTACGTGTATGTATGTTCATCCGTGAAAATCGGCCCGTCAACCGATAAAAAAAAAAAAAAAAAAAAACCGAAAAACCGATGAAATATCCTCCCGTCCTCCCGTCCCCTCGGCAATCGGCCGTTATTCGCGTGAGCCCGATAACAAAACGGAAAGAAAAACGCGAAAATACGGAGGACATTCGATCCGACGACGACGACGCTCCGCGTTTGAGCGCGCGCCTTTTTACGAAATTGAAAAAAAAAAAAAAAACACCTAATGTTTTCGCCCTAAAAACCGACCCGAGCGACGTCGCCACACCCGCGTAAATAATAACCGTGGCAATGTCGCGCAGTTATTATTATTATTTGATATATTTTTTTTTTTTTTTTTTGTTTGTTTTTCCGTAAAAATGACGAAAAATACTATATAATTTCGTTATATTTTTTTGTTTCCCTTTGTTTTGGACATTTGTCAAATTACGCGTTGGCTTTTTCCATTCAATTATAATACTGCTATTACTCGGGGGTGAACACGCATTTTTTTTTTTTTCAGAAAAGAATGACAATTGTTCAATGCCCATTTTCTACTTGCACTGTTATTAGATAAATATTTTTATACGAAATATCGTACAAAACGCGGGACGGTTTCCGCCGGGCCGCGTCGGTTCACACGATATTCGATATTAAAACAAACGTACCTTTTTCGAAATAAAAGTCGACACACCCGGTCGTAAATATAATTAAACTCGAAAGCGTAAGTATATACTGCAATGTGGTTTTTGACAAAACAACGAGCCGCGCTCCTAATGCACTACAATTACATTTTGTTTTTTTTATTTTATCGCGTCTAAAGAAATGTATGTACAATAATAATAGAATATTTTAACAGCACGGTTCGACCGTATTCGTTATCGGTTGCAAATAACGTGTAAGATATTCGAATTAGAAACGAAAACGCGACGTGATTTGTTTTTCGTTTTAATTTGGGTACGTTTATTTTTGAACAAAAAAAATAAAAAAAATAAAATAAATATAGCAATATGAGTAACGTAATATATTGCACTCGAAGAAGACCAATGTAACGCAGTATTGCTTATTGTTTGCCCGAGTATTGGGCACCACTGGGCGTGTAAAAAAAATTCAACGGCCGTAATACGTCATTGTACCGGGATGGCAAATTACACCATCGATTAACCCGTGATATTTTGTTTTTGCCGTGAAATTTCGCGGATAAACGACGCGATAGGAACGCGGACAGCGAAACAACAGAACAGGCCGCGGATGCTTATCAATGATAATCTGATTGATATTGACGAAATTCTTTATCATTATTGAACACAGTAAATTGGACGCAGCGAATAACACCTAACGCGGGGGTTTACATTTTCTAATTTTCGCCGTCGACGATTTCGCGGCGCAAATCTACTATGTAATTTTCGTCGTTCGGTTCGAATAAGTCGTTTTGGAGAAATTTTCGTTTTTTTTTTTTTTATTATAGCATCTACAGACCGCGCAATAAAGTGCGATTTATCTATTTATAGTGCCGTCGGCGTTCGAATCAGAAATTATGGAAGTTCACCGTATCAATGTACAGTGCACATAAGCGTATAACCTGTTGTGTATTTTTTTTCTGTGTGGACGCGTATCGGTACCGCCATAACTCGGAATAATTTAATTTTCGAGGGATCCGATTATAATACACACGAGTGTCGAATGTAATATACTATACCGTAATATGTGCTCGGCCCGAGTATCTCTAAACAACATTCGTTTCTTCGACGAACAATATTGTCACCACGCGAACCAATATTTTTGCTTTAAAACGTTTATATATGACGATAACAGACAGTACTGCAAAAAGCTCGACAAAAAAAAAAAAAAAAAACGTAAGCAACGTCTTTTCGAAAAATATACAGTTTTTAGAAGAAAGCATTGGTTTGATTTATGTGCTAATGTTTAGCACAATATTTCAATTACACGGGGAAGTATCCCAAAAAAATCGCTTGCAAAATTGTATTAATAACTATTTGATTACATTATTTTGATATTATTTCTTATAACATGCATACGTCTTATTATACTTTTAAATCCGTGTTGTTTTTTTAAAAATAATTTTGAATATTAGAAATTTCACAGATGTTTAAAAGAATCTGTTTGGAAATTACTTAAATGTAACAATTGTTACGTTAGTATTAATGCTGTAATGAAGTAATAACGTACCGTATAAAATCGTACCTATATTTTCGACTTTTTTTCATTTTCTTAAATATTGTTTTCCACACTGATTATTATTAATCGTCTTTATAGCGCAATTGCATGACGGAGAATTCGAAATGCGAAGAAACAATCAAAAAATTTAAAATCTACATTACGAAGCTATAGTTTATAGTTGAAAAAAAAAACAGAAAAAACAGTAAAAAAAAAAACAGTAGAATAAGTTAGGCAAAGCTCGTCTGGAGATCTAGAGAGACCAATCTGACGGATGACCAGATAGACACCGAACACTAAGAGACCGCTCTGGCCGCTTGGACATAGAATGGTCAAGAACGTATAAGATATACGGACGGACTCCGAGTTCCTCCGGGAGTCGGAAATGCGGAAGAACCTGCAAATGATAGGGAAGAATAAATAAACAACGGGTGAGCCTTGAGTACCTGTGATTATGAAAACCGAAAATTTATTTCAACCGGATTGTGTTTAAATGATACCGAGTTACTGCGGTACAGTGCGTGTGGAGTGATGCGTATCTACGATAAAACGTATAGATAAATTACAAGTATGTTATTATGTTTTAAAGCGAGAGACTTGCACCAAAATGTAAGTACACATAAGTGTATATATTTTTCGATTAAAAGAGAATTCGTTGTGATTCATTAACGGAAGTTTTTTACCATTGACGCTGTAAAATATTATATTGCAGCTGCAGAGTACCTACATTATAAACGAACATAATATACGTACATATATAGAAATTTTAAAAAGCCATCAAGCTTTTTGGTGCGTGACAAAATCGCACGTACACGTACAAAGGAAACGATGTCGATCGTAATCATTTTGTCGGCGTCCACAAAGGCGATAATTCGTATTGGTGTATTAATATTTATATGTATTTCTGGGTTTGTTTAATCGTTTCTGCGCCACAATAAGTATGTATAAGTGTTATATAGAGCCAGTCGAGTGGACCTTTGAAAGTGCGAAGCGACAAAAAAAAAAAAAATGAACTAAAACGAAACCACGCGCAAATCAAAAGCCGAACTTTATATTTGATTGAAAAAAAAAAAATAAATAATAATAATAAATACTTGAAACACACGGGGTGTTATAAGAAGAGGGTGATAACACCCCGCGGAGTGAATAAAACCGACGACGTGTTTGTGCGGTGGCGAGTAAAAGGAGAAGAAAAAAAAATAGTATTTTTTAATGCTTCCCCCGCTCAATCCGCAGCAGTTTCGCTTTGAGTCTGCATCAGTCACCGGTTCGTCAGATTAATATATTGCATAATATTTTTTACCTTGATTAAATGGAAAACCGCCCGTCCTTTTACGCAGTTCTGTCAATTTCAACCGCACAGAAATTTTTAATGTTTACAACTGTCATTCCATCCAACGCACGAACCGTAATAACAAAGACTTAATCTACGTATACTATTTTCTGTTCACGTAAACGCGGAATAAAAATTGTATTACGAAAATTAAATCATTTATAATATTCTGAAAGTCGCGCTTCGATATTACTGTTAACGGGACATAAACATGAACGTTTCGATTTTTATAGCAAATCGTTTTCGTCCTAAATTAATCAACTTGACTTACAGTTCGCAAAGCCAAGTGATCGCGTCTTTAAAGTGAACAATTTTATTTTTGTATTTTAATTTTTTCTAGTAAAATTTATTTTTCGTTCACTGGATCGGTGTTATTTTGTGATTACGGATGTATTGGTTTTACAATTTGTTGTTTTATGCGTTTGACTTTATAGGTACCGTCTTAATGAATGGGAAAACAGGAGATTTTTTCGCTTAACTTTTATTGATTACCGAGTTGTTTTGGCAAAAAAGGAAAAAAATACGACCAATAATACCCCGCTCACATTCGTTTTTCGTTAGGCGTGATTTATCGTTGCATATAGCCGATATACTCTATATATATATATATCCTTATTTCTTCTAATTTTTTTCCTAAAATGGTGGCAAACCTATGGGGCAGTAACAGCATTTTTTTTCCTTCTATTTAGCAATCGAGTTAAATAATGTAATACTTTCATCACACCTTCAAGTGACAAATAATCGTAGGTATACTAAAAATTATAGGTACAACAAAAAAAAAAAAAAAACCTTGAAATTTTATTGGATACTTATCCGAAAAAAATTATCTCGTACCTATATATTATTTATATTTTGCAAACTCTACTAGTTTATTGATCTTTTTATTAAAAAAAATAAAAAAATAAATATTATTACCATTACCTGATAATAATAATTATGTGTCAAGGAATATTATATTATTACCATTCCTAGACACCGATCATTACGCGGCGCGGAGGCGAGTTACAAAAATCCAAGGACGAGAGCTTAAAATAATAACCGACTATTAAATTATAGTACGTAAGTAAAAAAACCAAAAAACTAGATCGTTTCGTCCAACAGTCGCACGTCCATTAATTTTTCAGAAAAAAAAAAAAATGTCTGCTTCGCTATAATGTTATGGTTTTTTCTCTCCGTAATTTAATCACTACCGTAATATTGTGTATACTTTACCGGACGCAGTATACCTGATATTAAACTTTATCGTTATTATATACATTTTTTTTTTTTTATTATTTTTATCTAAAAACGCGCGTATACAAATGACGTGTGTCCGGCGCCCGCGTTTCATTTTTTTTTTTTTTTACAAAATTATACGGTTTCACGCGACACGAGCGTTCCAGCACGCTTTTAATTTATGCTATAATAAGGTACCTCTATATTTAAACGATTGACTTTAACGAGAAAATTACCAAACTGGAATATTTAAAAAAAAAATTCGAGTGATTTCCGTTATAACCGTTGGCCGCATATTACACCTATTATACAAAACGCAACACGGCTACACCCGTATGTTCTCAACTACACAATGTTTTTTTTTTTTCATACCGGGTTACGTAAAACCTATCATTTAATGTATAGAATGCCAGAATTTATCGCGCTACTCGTTGATTTCAGAGGGTCATTGGGATTCGGTCACGGAACAAGAATAACCGCCGGGAAAAAACGATAACGCGCGTATTAATAATCGTAGTTTTATTTGAAAATAATTTACAATTAACAAATTCCAAATACGCAAATACGTATATCGAACATTCGATTGTTGAATCGTCATGCGAAACGTATAAATTTGTGATAAACCCGTAAAGCTTTTATAATACCAGGTCCGTGGATAAACCTATGTTTAAATTTCTAATGAACCGGGCCTTTACTTTAATTTAGTGAATTGAATAGCTCCAATTTAGAGAACCACTTTAATGAATATTAGATCTGAAATGGTTTAATTAAACTTTAAACAGTCCGGCATTAGGATAGCGAATCGTTACACGCTTTAGCGATCCCGTGCAGTGATCATTGCGCGTTTTTTTTTTTTTTTTTGTTTCTTTCAAATTTTGTATAAATGGTTTAAACATTTTTTTTAAACGAACGCGATTTAATCTAAATAAAATTATATACAGCGGACTCGGTCTGTTCAGGGATCATTAGCTTTTTAGATGTTTACAGTTCAATGGGTCTCGACCCAGATTTAACACGTAAATACGTTTTTATTTAAACCATAACACGCCTCCACCGCGGCGAAGGCACCGCGCAACGAATAACAGCCGACGAAAAACTCAATACGATGATGATGTAAAACGCTAAAAACAACACTGCAATATACGTACCTACGCCGAAGGTTTTGTGTATGAAATTGGATTTTCAACTCAATAAAAACCACATTTGTATTGGCATAAAAGCCGTGCGCGACCGTAGTTTGGTCAATATCTGAAGTTATCGCACTGTCTTTAACTGAGTAAGTTGTACATTTCGGCGCGCGTTTTTATTTTTAACCGGGGGGGGGAGGGGGTCTTTTCGTTTGTTTAACTCGGCCGAATTAATGAAGTCGGTGTTAATTTTTTCTATAACTTTCCCGAATTTGAAAACTATATTGTACAGCAGTGAAATGTATTAGTTCGCAAAACTGTAAGTCGAATGGTAAACAGCGAATTGAGATAAATACACTGTATAGCAAATTATATAAAATATATCCAGTTTGAGGCTGTAACAGCTCGAAAAAATGAGTTTTTTTCAGGAAAGCGATTTAAAAATTCGACGGATAATTTGCCGTCAACCCGAAGTAAATTAAGTATGAATACAATTTTTGTTGCACGCATATTATTATGTCATTAGTAATGACATTGTGTTTCTGTTGTTACTAATATTATATATAAATATTTGGGTGGTCCTTATTATTTTTTTTTTTTTTAAATTTGATCGGTCTACCCGTGGAATTTGTTTGAAACCATAAAAAAATGAATTGTGTCAAGTTTCGTATTAATTGTTCAACTCTAAGGCGTTGAAAGGGTTGAAGTTCAATGGAAGGTGATTTTCCGATTATTTTAATTTTAGTCTAAAATAATTAAGATAGGCAAAAAAGTATAGGAATAAAATATATTTTAAATTAAATATACCATATAAAATGTTACTTGTACTTTTTTATTCACCCTCCCCCCTCCAAAAAAAAACTAGTTTTTAGTATTAAATAACTTATAAATATAATATGCCGTATTGCGTACCTATATTTTATATATTATGTTATACATATGTAATTCAAATTAAACACAATTAACAAACTTTCTTCTGTATCACTCGAAGAACATAATCCCACACATTCAACTAACAGTTAATTCGTGATTTTATATTATTTAAAAGTACTTATTATACGACAAACTATAAAAACACAAAATTCGAAATACTTACGGATAGATTTTATTTTGTTTTCGTTAAGTTTTCATTTTTTTTTTCTTCAGATTCTTCTAATTGTTTAGATCGTTTAATTTGAGTGTTTGTTCTCCGACTTGAATTTTTCTGCAAACTTCGCCGTGTATTGTGCAACCCTTCCGACAATGGTACGCGATCGCGAACTTCCCTAGTAGGTATTCGGGCTTTTCGCCAAAATATTAACGTTTCGTCAATCGCTGACCGCGCGCTCACACGTGAACTCGACTCGACTTCTCGGATATTAAAAAAAAAAACAGGGCCGATAAAACTTGTTCGTTTGACGGTAACTTGCGTCCGACCAGTTGATGAGAACCAGTACCGATTAAATAAATACGTTTACGTACATTGATTTTACCGTCCGTTTTTAAAATCGAAAAGTCTGTTCGTCGACGGTGCGTGGACAATTACAAACTGAGCCGTGACGACAATGTTCGAAGAATTGATATAGACAACAAATAATACGTCTAAAACCGAGCGAATAACAAACCTGTAGAGACGTGTTTGACATTTGCAGACTACGCGTTGTCGCAGGACCCGGTCAACGTCGCGAAAACGTGAGTGGGTGTCATGTCCGCGCTAGTAAACTTAGCAGACGTGTTAGAACGCGTACAGTTAACATTGCACAGCTTTCCATTCGCACGAACCGCGCGTTTTAACCATGTTATTAGCGGACTGTTCAACAGCTACTATAGAGTTGTTTATGCAGCGAATGTTGTGAATTTTCTCAGTACACAGTACGTTATATCGTACAAGCTATTACCGTGTACTAAATATACTAAAAATTAGTTTTTGTTATTTTGTAGGCGAACGAGTTGTTAAACGAAAAATGTACAAATAACATTTTTTGTAGGATAAACGATTTGAAAAACATATTGTTCTTGCGCTTTTTAGCGTGTCTTGAAGATTTTAGACTAAAATTACGAAAATCACCCTTATTTGAACTTCGACCCTCTTGTGGCACGCCTTAAGGTTTACCGATTATTACGAAACTTTACGAAATACATTTTTTTTTTTTTGTGGGTTCGAACGAATTTCAGTGGTAGCCCAATCCAAAATCGAAAAAAAAATTGTCTTCACATATAGTCTAAGGACCACCCTAATAAATATACGAATTAATCGCAATAAGTGTACTTGATCTACTTCAGAATTGGATGTGTAAAATCGAAATATGTTTTTCCAAAACAAAATAAGTGCTCTCTAGTGCTCAATAATTTTGATTTCGGTCACGAATTGAAATTGTTCTGATAAGAAGAAAAAAAATGATGTAGTTTACTCGTTTTTGATTTATTTATTTTTTTTATTTTTTATAAGTTGTTGTAGAGTCATGCCGGTTAGTCGGTATTAACAATGCAACGGACCAAAGGATACCATCGGATACCCTATTAGAGAAAACGACAAAATGAAAACCGAATCGTTTTCGGTGTCCTACCTATATATATAATTTGCGAAAGAAATTATCGGGGACGACCGATAAAATTACAGTCATTACGCGGGAGTAGTTAACATCACCTACCTACCGAAATAATAATTAGGGTCACCGTCGCATATTATGTGACTGCTATTATTAGATACTCGTCTCGACCCGACTAGATTTAAATCGTATTAAACCCTTACCGGCAATCGTTGTTATTATTATTATTGTTTTTTTTTTTTTGATCGGGGGAAGTTACAATTTTTCGTACTCGACGATGAGCTCTGCGTTTCTAAGCTTATTAAATAGAGCCGAGAGAGATAAAAAAATTACAATATTGCTCTGCCGAGTTTGCGTCTGGTTGTTGATAACGTTTGATTAAAATATCGGTTGGTCACGTATTCGCGAAAAGGAATATTGTATTATTGTTAAACTCTATCCCGTAGAAAACTCGCCGAAAATGATAACAATATTAATTGATAATACATAGTGTATACCATGTTACATTTTTCCCCGTGATCGGGCCGACCAATATATCGGCCTATGGTTTCCTTTTCGCGCCACACGATTGTATAGTTTTGTTGTCGGATGTGAGAGGTTTTTAACCTTTTTTACGAATCGCGGCCGGTAATTTTATCTACCGATTTTTCTTTCGTGACGCGACTCCTTCAAACATTCTCTAACACTATACCTCAGGCGAAATGAAAGCAGAGTGTACATTTCCGCGGAGTCCTGAGAAACCGCTGGCTGATACGTTCCAGTTATTATAATGCTATCCCGACAGGAATACGGTCTCTAGCTATAATCGGGGACATCGTTTCTCGAACGAGCCGTAGTGCAGTTCGCTTTCGGGGTGGGATTACACCATACACTATCCGATTAATAAAAAAACCTAATTGTGTGTGCGCATAAATAATAAATTGTCGGCGAATTTCACGCGTACGCGCGAGGAGAAGATGGCATCATAATGTTACACAGTATCGTTGTGTCCCGTCGAATGAGAAATAATTAAAGGGTCGCCGAGTAACGCGCTGCACACGAGCGGAAATTTAATATAATATTATTTCGGATTAAAACCGCGTATTAGGCGTGCATATTGTACTCGTGTACGATTAATAATATTAGTGGAGTGTGCGTGTGTGTGTGTGTGTGTGTGGCGTACACTGTTGTTATATTATTACACTCGCATAAACTCTGTATACGATTATTAGTATATTCTATTAAGCGTGTTTTTTTTTTTTTTTACAGCCTACCCCTTTACGCGTTCATATATACACGGTCATAGTCTCGTCGTCGTCTGCGGAGAAATAGAAAAAAAAAAACCGTTCCGTCTCACGATTATTATTATAATACGAGTATGTAATATTATAGCGAACGCTCGCTGCATCATAGACGGTATTAGACGTAATAATATTTCGGTGTACTCGGTATTTCGAGTGTGTGTGTGTGTGTGTGTGTGCGCTGTACATGAATATAGCAATTAACTGGGTGTCTGGCAAAGTGGGTGGGTATAATATAATGTACGAGACGAGTGCGGAGGAGGAGAGGCCGAGGAGAGATATTGCCTTTGGCTCCGTACTCGTTTTCGAGAGATTCCCGCCGCAGACAACGTCTGTGCACCGGTGTATGCGTTGCGGGTACGGTTTAAACGTCTAATATGTATTCAATATAAAATTTATAGCGCGGCGTGCGTTGCGGATACATCTTTTGTTTGGCGTTCGCGCGTTTTAAATCGGGCCTTTGCTGCGCGACGGGGACGGGGAGAAATGATTGTTGTTGTTGATGTTATTGTTATTATTATTATTATTATCCGTACTCGTGCGTGTAACATTATTGTTGTTTAATATCGTAAATGCGTAATTTCGTCCGTTTACGCGCATTACGGCGGCAATGACGCATTGCGAGTGCACGTGTCGTTATCGCGGTAGGCCGCGGGTACGGTATGTTGCAGTATCGCTATTATCATTACCGCGGGTACGTGCCGCGCGCATTCGACAACGCCGAGATGGCGCTGAAAACGCGCCCGGCGGTACGGGTCGTATCGTCGTTGTTGTCGTCGTCGTAACGCCGTTTTCGTGTACCCGTGCGGCGATGACGGGCAGAGCCCTTTCTGAACGACGGGGACGCGATCGCGCGCGCCGTCGCCACGACAATGTATCGCTATTATTATTATTATTATTACGCTCGTATTATTATTATACACCAGTCGCTTGTATCGCGACGCCGCGTATCTCGGAATTCGAATTAAAATTAAATCCGTAATCGACGTTTTTGACGAAACGGCCGTTTTCGAAAAATCGATATTCTGGCCACGTTTTTCGTGACTCGCGCGGCCACGCTGTGAATCGCGAAAACGATAACATCAAACGTCCCGCGCCACGAGCTGAGATATCTCAATTACAACAAAATACCGTACCGACATAACGTGCAGTTCGGCCCGATAGCGCGCATAACGATATGAGCGACGCCGTGAAGAAATAATACGTACACCGTTACAGCGCGAAACGCATTAATCGAGCATTATTAGCGTTTGAATCTCGGCGAGATTAAATCGTTTTTGTTTTTTTGTTCTTTTTTTTATCGATTTTTCACGTTTCGGAAAACTACGATTATGTTAAGCGTAACGTTATACTATTGTGTGATCACTGCATTGACAGAGCACCTCTTTCGGACTGTTTATTGGCGGGCCATCATCCGTAGAGTACCTTGTTATTATTTGTGCGGCGTAGGAATCGTATTTCGCGATGTGTTTTAACCGGGGGGGGGGAAACGCTCGTAAAACTACGAAAACCGAGATGCGCGCCGACGTTGTAGCGGCCGACGGCGGTACAACCGCGGCGCGTCGGGCCATCGATCAAATATTATGCCGCGCGCCTAATGTTACGCGGGCTTAACGCGCGGCACGCGGCGATACGTTTGTCGCGTGTGACGCGGTCGCCGGGGATACCGGCCGGGAATCGATTTTCGGTACCGACCCGAGAGAAAACCGTCGGCCCCGCGCTGCCAAAGGATAACGCGACATGACCGCGGAGAACGGAGGAGACAGAGGAAAAACGGAATGGCTGGCGCGCGGACAACGTTCGGTGGACGTGGTATTGTCGTTCGGACGTCGCCGGATAGGGAAAACCGCGGCGGAACGGCCGAAAACCCGCTGCTACTGCACGGGCGGCGCCGCGACAGAACCCGGTAGGGAAATCGCCTCTGGCGAGACGCAGAAAAACGGCCCGCGGGACGGACCGAATCGGAAGAGATTTTCGCGGCGCGCACGGCCGGAGGATCGTTCCGAGACGGGGTTAAGGGGGGGCTAGAGGCCGGATAAACACGGATAACAACGACCGTTACAGCGCGATCCGCAATTCAAAAGATGCGAAACGGTTCGTGAAAAACGTTCATGGCGAATTCGGCGTTCGTATTATGAAAACGCGTTGGAAACGAACCGCGGTTAAAAAAACGTTCGTTCGAACGCCGTAACCCGTGCGTTCCGTAAACGATTCTCGTATAACGTGACCTGTGCGTAGTTAAAATTGAAAAGTTTCGGAAAAAAAAAAAAATAAAAAAAATCAACAGCCGTACGAATAAAGCAATTCGACGTTTTCGTTTCGACTCTTCGAAAATATTATTTTTATCGTCGTCGCGCGCTAAAGCCGTTACAATAATAATAAACAATATTATATGCGAGTTAACCGGCGCGTCCGTACTGTGAATTGCTTGCAAAAAAAAAAAAAAAAAAAACCACTCAATGCTCCGCCGCCGCCGCCGAAGGGTCGTGCAGCAGCCCCAAATCAATTGAAAACCATACGCCGACCAGTAAACGAGAACGGCGGGGGCGGCGGCCGGAGGAGAGCGATGGAAAAAGCAAAGTTACGTAAGTTTTTTTTTGCATAACTCCCGCCCCGTGTTTATGCAACAATAATTATTATATTTTTTTTTTCCGATAGGTTTTAAAATAATAATTCCATTACGGGGGAACGCGCGCCGCGTGCACGCGTTTTGTACCGATTATTACTTTTGTTTCTGTAAAGGTAACTATACAACGGAATAGAAACTTTGTATAATCGCGCGTTTTGGATGAGTTTTAAGTAAGGCCGCGGTGTTGTGCATTAAAAAAAAACGAATGAAATAGCTGAATATTCGTTAATACGTTAAAATTGTACGTATTGTGTATATAAAATATAGATAGTCTACCTCAGATTCGGAGGCCGCGATTCCTCGTAAATCTATTATAAAAACTGTTTTAACGAGACAATCCATATATGTATACGAGTACCTTCTCTTTCCGTATTTATAATGGTTACCAAACTTTAACATTACTTTAGAAAAAAATTACAACATCTGTGTCGTAGCGTTATTTATATACATATATATATATAATTTTTTTTTTTTTTAACAAAAAGCATTTGAAATTTTTAAAAATTACTTGCCTAACAAGACTTAAAAGGATTTTAAAAGAGTTGCAGATCGATAAAAAAAAACTAGCCGTTTATAGAATACAATTTAATGTATTTCAATAAAATCAAAACCAAAAAAAAAACCTGAAAACTTGATGATTTTACTACCTGTTCGAAATAATAATATATTTATATTTATTATTTAGTAAATATACATAAAACGGTTTTTCAACTCTATGTGGAAAAAACTAAATAAACTTTTGTCGCTTTTTTTAAACAACACGAGTGTACTTAGACTCTGACTGAGATTTATGACGGGATAATAAATCATTCTCAAACAAGAGATTTTCAACCTTATACGCTAGGATTAAAAAAAAAATAATAAATACGTAACAACATGATGCCTAACTACATATATTTTATTACGTGGGTATGATCTGTCAATTTTTTTTTTACCCAGTCACCTTTTATAATCTACATATGTATTTGAAACACTCGTACGAACTGATTTAATTTATATCGTGAAAATTACTAAAATATTATTATGGTTTTTTTTTTATTGAAATATAACCAAAATAACCGTACCTATTAGTATTCTAAAGTTAAAAAAAATAAATAGTTTTCGCGCGCTTATTTGGTAAAAATCAGTTGTTTTTTTTTAAACGTTTTAATTTAAAAAATTGTTCGTCCATAGTTTATCGTATAACAATAGTTGCACTTTTACCAAACAATGAATAATACACTTTTAGATTCTGAGTGGAGCGAAGAAGCTTATAGTTTTACAATGATGTTTAGAAGACTTGCTCGGATTTTTACGTATAGCATCTTTTCTGAAAGAAAATCGGCGTGTGAAGATACTTTCAGGAGGTCGTTTTTCAATTGTCTCAGGAGTTTTCTCATCAAATTTGAAAAACCGAAAATAACGGCGGAAAATCGTAGGCAAATCGGTACAACATTAAAAAAAAATATTATTAAAGAGAATACGTATAATAGAGCCTATTCAATTATTTTACCATAATATTGCACATATATTCTTGACAAAGTATTACTACCAACTGGACTCCGCTCAGAATCGTTTTATCGTAAGTAATGGTCTATCTTTGCTTACAGGTATACATTAAATTATCTATAAAAGTGGCCGCACTCATCCTAGGACGTATTTTTTATTATCTTTATTCTATTGGAAACGTATTATCTACATTTTTTTTACAAATATAATAGTATAATAATCGTATAACTGTAGTTTATGAATAGTTTTTTGTTTTAATTTTTTGATCGATTCTAATACATAGTATATTTGAGTACATATAAACATTGAACAATTTGTTTTAAATTATTTTAAATAATACTCGAATACAAACACGTTTTGAGAGTATTTCGAGTTATACTATCGTACATCATACTTTCAATGAAATATGTTTAAACGCCTACGAATAAAACACGCAAATTAATGTCATTTGAATAAATCTGAAAATATTGACACGCGACTATTATAGAATATTTCAGTAATTTATTGTACTATGAACATTTTAAACGAATAATTAAAATATTATATCGAATGCTTGTAATTTAAAGTATTAAAAAATTGTATTATACTATAAACTAAAGGTATTTAAACACCGTCAATAGGCTATACGTAATACAGTCGCGTTAATACTATTTAAATAATAAGACGGTTTTTTCTCCCACGTATTTACTGAAATAACGAGTAAACTACGGAGTTGTTTTTTTAAAAAAAAAAAAAAAAAAGAAACCCGGGATTATGCCCCAAGGACGAGAATATCCGAAGGAATGTCATGTACGGGTTGTGTTTTTTCATTAATATTTAAAAATACAATAATATAATCGAATCGGCTTTTTTATTATTATTATTATTTTTTTTTTTTTAAACGTACGCCCAGCCTACATTTATGTACACGTGTGCACTTGGACAGACCGCGGGTGCTCTATGCGAAGCAGGTGTATCGCACGGGTTAGATGCCCTGTACAACTAATATCGTCGGCGTTGTACACCCCGAGGGCCGTATTATCATTACCGTTATTATAAAGGGAGCCCGGGTGTAATTTATTAGACGTTCGCGTCGCGGCGCGCGAGTGCGGTGTAGTCGTACGCTCGTGATAATAATATAATGTAATAATAATAATAATAATATGTGGAACCCCGGACGCGCAAAGTCGACTCGGGGAAAATTGATGATCTCTGTGATGTTTTCTCTACGCTCGCTCGCACGCACGAACGCATGCGCACGCGAACGGGTTGTTCGTACGCGAAAAGCCCGCGAGCGGCGTGCGCTCACACCACTCGCGATAATATTTTCGGGTCCCGCGGCCCGATAAGTCCTCTGGCGGGATGCGATTACGGCGTGAGATCACGCTTGTGTTTATGGAATTCGCGGAGGGGGGGGG